TTTTAAATAAAATGCTGAAGTGGTAGGTAGATGCAAGATAAAGGTAGAAAACATAATTTAGTGCTGTAAGAGGGCAAATGTAGATGATCAGGTCTGTGCCTATAGACTAAGTATTAATCCAAGCTAGACAAGGGCAACAAAACATCCACGGATGCAGAAGATTTCTCTCAAAATGGGGGGTGAGGTTCTAAGCCTCACCTCTGTTGATCCCCAATTTCTCTCCTGATGGGCCCCCCTGCGACTGTGCCTGTCTTAGGTTGTTCCTCCCTTGAGGAATCTTACCCGTCTCTGGCTAACCAGTCATCTTCTGGGGCCTCCAAGTCCTTTTTGACACCTCAGATATTGGTTTGCAGATTTTGACATGTAACCAGAAATATCCATGAGAACATGTGTACGAAATGAATGCCCACATTTCCAGACTGGTTCAGAACTCGAGCCCAAACCAAACAAGGACTTGGTGAAAGTGTGGATATGCCAGGATGTGAAGAGTACATGAGTGTATGCAAGGCTAGGAAAAACACCTCCAACCCTAAGAGACTGAGAGTTAGTCACAGTTTAGGAGGAAGGCTGTTGCATTGCCTGTCAGGGAGGATAGCAATTTATAAGGGAATTTATAGAAATAAGATAGTCTTCTTGTAGTCCAGCTGTGTCTCTGATCAATAAGCAAATTTTAGGGAAGCCTGGGTGATCCTGAAGTCATGTACCAGTTCTTAGATGTATTTTAATATAAATTGAATTTCCCTTAGAAATTCTTCAGTGTTCTTCTGACATGTGCCTTAAGCAGTATTTTGTGGTCTGCTTTTTACCGGTCTCTCCCTGAAGATTTAAGACCGACAGCTGGCTTGTGTTTTCTCATTTGATACAGGCTTGTATGACTGTTTATGACATTCCTGACTTGCTGGGAGGAAGGGGATGCCTAGGATCTGTGGTCTTCTCCGAGTCCTTTTTGACATCTCAGATATTGGTTAAAGAAAAGGGTAAGCATATACACTTTATGGTCTTTGGAAAGCAAAACGATAACTTTTCTTTTTTTGCAAAATAAACCATAAACTAAGTCAAAAGACTGGCAATAAACCTGTAAAATATTAGAACACTTATGATAAACAAAGGGTATATATCCGTAAAAGACAAACTACCCAATAATGGCAAAAAAAATGAACATGCAGTGCACAGAAGTGGAAAACAAAACATTTATATATATGATATATATATATAAATATGTACAGCCTTACTTGCAGTCAGGAAGAAGCAATTTGAAACAATAACTAGGTCCATTTTTACTCATTATGTTGGCAGAAAACTCCTAGAGTATTCAAATGTCCAGTGCTAATAGGATGAGCCTAATTACGTTCTGTTTGGTTTTTAATATGTACACCTGTACTACCTTGATAAAATTTAAATTATTAGTTAAAGAGACTAATTTCCAGGATGCTTTATATAAATGTGTTTCTCTTTTCTGTGAAAAATAATAGAATTAAGCACATACGCAGACCTTTCTCCATCCCCTCATTATTCTCCCTGTCACCAGATGAAGAAGGTTTCATTTTCTGAGGACATCAGATTCCCTGAGAAGAGAGGAGCCTTTGCTCCTGAAAAGGGGAAAGGTGCTAGCCGCCTGGGGCCTGCATGGTGGGCACAGGTGGTGGGCAGTAACTGGATGCCTGTGTTCTTCCTGCAGATGGCGCTGTTACCACAGAAACCAGCTCCATCGTCCTCACAGCTGCCATACCCAGATTCAGCTCTTGGCTGGTTAGTGTCATTCATCAGGGGGAAGTTGATGTAAACATGGGGAAATTGGGGAGAGCATTTGAGGAAGAACCTCTTCATTAGTTCCCCGGTGGGATGTCATATCCTGGACTAGCTGCCGTTCAGGAATGAAGTTTTTATCTCAGCTCTTTCTCTTTATACAAATGAATCTTCTTTTACTCTCATAATCTTGGAAAACTTCCAAAAGAAAGGGACTAAGTCTTATCTGGGTCTCTGTTAAACTGTGAAGGGAAGAAATTAACACCCTCATTTTACAGATGAGGAGACTGATGCTTGGAAATTGACTAACCTATCCAAGGTCACATAGATAGTGAGAAGTGGATGGTGTAGCTCGTTTTGCTGGACCTCACCGTCCGTGTTCCTGGGTCTGAGCCTTAATGACTAGTGAACAACTCTGCCAGCCATCAGGGTCTAAGAGTACTGGATTTGGTGGAGGGACTGCCTAGTTAGTCTCCTGGAAATATTTGAACATGTGGAGACCCAGCAGTTTTGCCCTTGAAACAATAAACTGAAAATCTGTACTCCTTTTGGATGTAGGTAGAAGATAATGAAGTAAAACTGTCTGAGAAAACCCAGCAAGTGGTAAAGGTAAGTAAGCAGCCTTCTTATTCATAATGTTATATCTTAATGAAATATAAACAATTTATAAAGATAATTTAAAATATGTCATCTTAAAGATCTGTACCTTTTTGTCTCAGTTCTTGTTTGCATTCTTCTTCTTTCTGGAGACTCTAGAAATAACCATTTATGGGTATTATTATTAACACAATTAGAGGAGTTTTTTCTGCCACATAGACATTTTGGTGTTTTCTTTTAAAATCTCCCAGTAATACTAAAAGCAGATCAGATTGACTTAGGCATATAGAGCTGCAAAATCAAGGCTTTAGGCCAAGGAGAGATGCCTCCAGCTGGAACATGAACAAGCACTGTAGGCTTTGGTGCCTGGATTGCAGAGGGCCTTGCATTCTTTTTCTCAGCACAAGTCAGGGATGCCAGTAACATGGCAAAGAGCCAGACAGTGCCAGAGGTCGTGGAAGAAGTTGGGTATATTTGGGGCTGATTCAGCAGCTCCTATAGACAAACTTGGTCAGGACTTTTGGTTTTGTGAATGTTCATGCTGTAAATAACCTGCTCATTGTGTTTGTTCTATAAAGGGAGATGAGTGTTTCCTAGGCACTTTCCTAACAGGAGGAGAAGGAGCATATCTTTACTCCAGCAACCCACAGTCCTGGCCTGAGGAAGGTAAACAGCTCTTACTTTTCTATTCTTGACTGTGTCTGGCTCCCTCTTTTGCAGGTATTGGCATGGGTGTTATGATTAGTAATGCATCCAATATTTGAAAAGACTTGTTGGTATAGAAGTGTTTTCTTACAGCTTTTCTCCTTTGATCCACCCATTTTGCAGATGGGGAAGCTTGTGGTAGGAAGGGAGACCCCAGGACTGCACCTGGTCCTCTTGTTGCTGCCTGAGAATTACTCTCAGAATAGACTAGAGCAGCAACATGTCCAGAAACAGATCTGTGGACCTTGACAAAATCTGGACTCATTTTCTATCGCTATGTAACAAATTACCACAAATAGAGTAGCTTAAAACAACATTCATGTATTATCTGACAGGTCTGTAGGTCAGAAATTCAAGCCCGAATTCTTGTAAGGCCTCATAACACCTAGAGTCTTGTAAGGCCAAAGTCAGGGCATCAGCCAGACTTAAAAGAAGGCTCTGGGGAATAACCTGCTCCCAAGCTCATCCAGATTATTAGCAGAGTTCCATTCCTTTGGGTTATAGGACTGAGGTCCCTGTTTTGCTGCTGGCTGTCAGTGGGACCACTCTTAACATCTCCTCCCGGAGGCCCTTGCACTGTGACTCCACCTCAGCAACAGAGAACCTCCCTTGTGTTCTTGAATGTCTCTGAATTCCTCTTCTGCTACCAGCCAGAGAAAACTGCTAATAAAGGGCTCCTATGATTCAAGGAGGCCCACCCAGATAATCCCCCTTTTGCCATAAAACATTACATGAACACAGGAATAACTTCAGGGGATAGGTCATGGGGCCCATCTTAAGTTTCTGCCTACCACAGTCTACCTCTGACCACCACAATTCATGTCCCTCCCACATGCAAAATACAGTCACCCCTCTCAGGGGCCGCAGCCCATTATGATAACAGTTCAAAGTACTACATCTCATCAGCCCAAAAATCTAAAATGTCATCATCAGGATCATCTAAATCAGGTATAGATGAGGCTCTGGTGTGTAATCCATTCAGTAGAGCTCCTGAACACAGTTCCTCTCCATCTGTGGAGCTGTGAAACAAAGTGACAAGTTATCTGCCCCAGCCCTTCCAACACAGAAGGTGGGACGCATGGGATACTAGTTACAGAAATTCAGGTTCAAAAAGGGGGAAAATGGAAGATAGAAAGGAGTTACCAGCCAAGGTAACTTTAAAATCCAGCTGTGCAAAACTCCAATTGCTGGATTAAGTTCGAGGCCTGGAGTAGTGCTCCCTGGCTCTTTGCTCTGCCCCCCTGGGCTCTTGGTTCCACCTTGTAAACCCATTAGTTTTGCCCTTCCTCTGGGCTTTTGACTATACCTCTGCCCTTCCTCCTTTTTCCTGAAGGTAGAGCTGTGTGGCTGAGTGTTTTTATCAGCCTGTTTCTTGTGAGTAGGATTTTGGGGTCTAACAGTCACCTTTCATTTCATACTCTCCATCCTTTTCAGTCCAAGTTGGCAGTATTTCTGCTGATATAAAATTGCCAAGAACCTTGTTGGTCTTGCATGGATTTTATGGGGGTTCAATCCATGCTATTTTTCCTGAAAATAACATTTTATGAGTCTTATTCTTTCCCATTGGATAGAGCCATTTTGCAGAGAAGGAGTTGTGACTCACTCCACAAAATCTTCTACCTCTACTTAGCAAACCCCCTCTCTGGATAATTTGTTCTTCTTGAAAATATTCTGTCCAGTGGCGACTCCTCTCCCAGTTCTCACATCACTAGTTCAGCCTTGCCCTGCCATTTACATAGGAGACAAAGCACAGGAGTTCTGGTGCCCCACAAAATGCTGGGGTAGTAACAGCATTTGTCATCATGCCTCTTCTGCAGCACCTGCCTGCATTTTGGCCTTTCCAGATCCTGGTTCAGAAGACCAGAGAGTTAGGAACATTTGTTAAAGGCAGGGAGCATGTGATAGTGCTACCAACCTTGGAGCAAGATTGCAGTGTTTTAAAAACAGGTTGTAGACACAACACAGAGGTAGTTGTACTCTTTCATAGCTGAGCCAGTTTACAATATTTAGCAAGGATGTTTGCCAAAAGTAGTTTGCACCTTCTTAGCAAAGGGCCTTGTTAAAAAATAATCTTACCTTGTACTGCATTATCCAGCAAGAATCAGCGTATCCTGAGGTCTCTACCCAAGAATGAAGGGCACAGCCAGAGATTTCTGGAGCCTCATTAATCATACTCTTTTGAGAGCTTAGATTTCAGACTGAGTTCCTGAGGGAAATGTAGTTTGAATTAGGAGATGGTTTTCTGAGGCAGGAAAATTCAGCAGGAGCAGAGAATTTAAATAGGGGTTTCCTCTGACTGTGTGCTAAACATTTCACCATTTTGGAGCTCAGTTCAATTTTGTGGAGCTTGAAGTTTACACAATTTGGGGGCTCTCTTAAGGAAAAATAATGCAAAATGGTTAGAACTCTTCTCAGAGGGCTTGGGTGGTTGAGGGGTCCTGAAGCTTAAACATCTTTAGGGTTTTAGTAAATCTGTCTCTACTTGAGACTGTGACAGGCTTGAAATTTTCTGTTCCTATCCCCCAAAGGCATTTAAAAGGCTCTTCAGCATGTATTTTCTTAATTGATCTTCATATCCTAAGCCCCACAAAAGGTGAAAACCTGCTTAAGGTTATAGTGTAAGTTAATGGTAGCATCTGGAGGGTGGTCCAGGTCTTCTGATTTTCAGTCCAGAGGCGGCCCAGCAAATGTATGGATAAGAATAGTATTTCCTTTACCTTGAAATGCTTCTAGCTCTGGAATCTTTTCCCTTCCCCAGTAAGTGACTTCTGCTATCACGAGATTTATTGTTGTGCAGCTTCCTGTTCGTTCATGTCCTTCTTGTGCCCTTCTCTTCCCCACCGTGCTGACCTTGGTCAGGCAGGTTGCCCAGTGCCTAATCCTCAGGAGTCTGCTTCAGAGTTTTACTACATATGCCTATATCCCTAAACAATGTCTTGTTTTTGAATGTAATACAGAGTATGCTCTCTGTGTTTTTCTGGGACTTGCATTATTGCTTAATACTCTGTTCTAGGATTTGTTCAGATTGTTGTGTGTAGCCATATAGTTCATTCACTTTCATGGCTCTGTAGGATTCCTTTGTATGAAAATGTGCTGTTTATCCTTTTGACTCTTGATGGACATTTGGGTTGTTCAGATTTGTTTGCTATGATAGACAGCACTGTCATGGATTCTAGTATGTCTCCTGGCACACATGGCACCAGGAAGCTGCCTTACAACATATCTTTCTTACTGCATGTAAAAATCTAATTGCCATCTGTGGTCTCTGTGCCCAGATTTTTCTGTTAGATTTCTGGTTAGTTGCACCAACCAGCATTGAGGTGTCTGGTTGGTATGTTGGCCTTTGCTGAATGTTTGCCATTTTGCTGTTATTTTTTGGCATTCCTAGGTATAGAATTCTCTGTTCTTTGCCCCACATAAAGTCAGCCCTTCCAGCAGTCTTGCCTGTCCCTGATAAGACTTCTTCTGTACCACAGAGCTGGAGGGGAGGTCATATGAATAGCCCTGGACTAAAACACCACAGATTTCTACTGTTCTTACCAAGCCTCAGTAGACTTTCTCAAATAAAATGCTTCTCAGTGTTGTTGTACAACTTTGGTCCATTTCCAGAGTCTTTAGATAGTTGTTTTTGACATGTAGTCCAATTTTTTGCTGCTTTCTGGGGGGAGGATTTGCCAGAGTCCACAGACATTTCAGAAGTCCCACCCCTCAGGACTTTTGTAAGATATTTCCACTCAGTACCAAATTCTAGGTTGACGGTTTCTTTCTTTCTGTACTGTAAAGATGTTCTGTACTGTAAAGATGTTCTTGTACTCTAATGCAGTCTTCTCACTGCATTATTTCTGAGCAGAAATCCACTGACATCCTTATCTTTGTTCCTTTCTATGTAAGGTATCTTTTTTTCACTCCAGCT